TGTGTGTGTGTGTGTGTGTGAGAGAGAGCATGCAGGTGTGTTCAGGGGTCTTGGTTTTTTAGAGCATAGCTTGCAGATTCACAATGTGTGGATCCTGCTCATTGGCTGATGCAGCAGGGAGGATGAACCCACAGTGTATGTGGATGTGTGTGTGACAGGATCAGATGGACAGCATTTTATAGGATCTCAGTCATATCCCCAATTCTGGAAAAATTGACTCACACATTGAATGCTGGGAAAAAAGCGTACATTTAAAAAGTGATTTCCTGTTCAAACAAGAATCAAAGTGGGTCTTTCTGGAAGTGGTCTTAGACATCACAGTGGGTGCCAAGTTTCTTCTTGTCAAACTTTGCAAAAAAAAACCTGTCTGGGAATGAAGATCAGTGTTTTAGCAACAGAATAAGTGCCAGAAACACGAAAATGAAAATGTTAGAACCATAGTTAGCTCACAGAATCACTTTTGTTTTTACCTGATTTGTCTTTTCTCATCCATTTCTCTTCTTTCCCTTCCTCTTAGATGTGGATGAGTGTCAGGCAGTGCCAGGTCTGTGCGCCGGAGGCAACTGCATCAACACTGTTGGATCATATGAATGTAAATGTCCCGCCGGTCACCGTCAGAGTGAAACCAGCCACAAGTGTGAAGGTGAGTACAATAGTGGTTAATTTAAGTTATATAGCACATTAACGGCAACAGGTCGACCCAAAGTGCCTCTACTGTACAGCAAAAGGAAACATAACCATGGACAAATGATAAGATGCACACTGTTAAATATTTAATTCATAGAAAAGACAAATACAGTTAAGTTAAGAGGATCAGTTAAAAAAGAAATAGCTGAACTAAAACACATAGATAAAGTAAAAAATATAAAGCACATAGATAAACTAAAACACAAATTACTGATAAAAAATTAAGAAAGACAGTTTATTGAGGACCACTGGTACAGTATTATGGTCACCATGTTACAAAATGCATGGCATTCAGATCAGTGCCACCCTAGTCAATAGACTTTGATCTGCTGCCATAATTCTCAAGATTCTCAGGAGTGAATAAAGCAGTGAACTGACTTTCACACACGTCTTGTAAGAAGAAAGGCACCAGGACGACAGTTACAATTACAAGCCGAGTCAGAATTACAAGTCTTCATTACTGTGAACATCTGTTGTACTGAGGTGTCCTTAAGCAAGACGCTGTTTTCCGGCTCTGCTGTAGATCTGAAACTAATCTAATGGAAAATGCAGTGGTTAAAGCAGTGAACGCAACTGACACGCCTTGGGCCAAACTACGAATTACAAACTTACTGTTACCATCGAATCTACAGAGTAATTCACTATTTAGTCTCTAAAACCCATCGATATAAACATAAAGACAGAGCCCAAAAGTGAATCCAGTGCTTCTTGATCACCACCTGGTGGCTGGCTGCAGTATCGATCCTAAATCTTGCCTCTTCCATGTTAGTGGATGGGACATGGACCTTACTAAAAGGTCAAAGTACACGACAAATACTTTTTTCTCAAAGATGGTTTCTGTTTTTTTTGAGGAGTTCAAACCAACTGTTTGTACAAGTGTTACCTTTTAAACAAGCGCCATCACCAGTCACTACTTCATAGACTTTAAATACAGTCTATGATCATGACAAACGAAGCAAGCCTTTTAGTATTCTTAGTTTTAATAATTGAAATAATGAATTGATATTTTGATGTTGAATTGCTAAAGTATGGAAGACTACATCGACTCTATTTGCATGCAGTGAGGTTGAGTTTGTGAACTTATTGCCCTTCAAATAAGATTTGGTTGATTTGATAGTGACCATCATGGAGCGTGCACTTAGGGACAACTCTGGGTTGGCTTTGATCACTTGACAAATCTCTGAGGGCTGACGACATGTTCATAGTGGAAGAAGTCTGAACATGTGCACTCAAACACACACACACGTCAAGCACATACACACTTACACACACACACACACACACACACACACACACAGCGAAGTGGATTCACATTACAATGTGTTGATTGGATGGAATTTAAACAATGCCCAGGCTAAACAGTCTGACAGTCAGGCAGCGTTTGTGTCTCTTGGACTGAAGCCGTTGTGTTCTTAGTCTTCAGGGAGGATTACAGAAAGCTCTCGAAACTGTTGCGCCAGTGATCGTAGCGTATAAGCGCATGAATTTCCATCTAAATTCTCCTTCTATTAATCTGTAGTATGCCTTAGAGCTGTACCAGCTACAGGAAAAAAATACAACTATTACTCGCTGGAAACTGGCATCTCCACCTTCAAGATTGATGAGAAGCAATCACTGTAAAACTTACCAGAAAGTGATTTATGTCCCTGTGAATGAAGGAGGAAACAGACAGGCTGACTTAACTAATTCACCAGTCCCGCTCTCAGTTGTGGTTTTGGGCGAATGCCACTTCAGTTAAGGTATTACTGTAAGGAGAGAGTGAGCGCTTCCAGAGATGCTGGGCAACGCTAATAGAAACTTTGGGTGTGGATGTTGTAGCCACATTCCAGCTGGTTTATATTCACGCCACTCAAGGACACTGAGACAAAGAAACACAGGTTAGGATTAGGATGGGATGGAGAGGATTAGGACTTTCTCAGGATTCGAAAAGTCCTGTAAACTCGCTACCCTCTCACCTTCATGTTACATTAAACTTGCTTTATTGATCGATAGTGTTTACTGGTGATTATGTGATGTTCCCATCAGTCTACATACAGTGTTACCTGTATTTTATTCAGCAAAAGTAATCATGGTCATAATAGAACTAGAGCTGCAACTAATTATTGTACCATTTTCTAAAAAAACATCTTCCTCCAGGTACTTTGAATTCAAACATTTAATCTGTAAAAGGAAGAAGAATTTGATCAGGTCACCATTTACAAAGTTTCCAACCTGGAAAACAAACTGATGTTCTGGGAGAACAGTGAAAAGTCTGAAAATGTAAAACTGAAATACAAAATAATGTTTGCAAGAATTTGAATTCTTTTTTTTTTTCAAGCTTCCAAACAAAGTTTCAGAACACAACATCTTTTGTATTGATGATCATTTCCAGTTGTTTTAGTTGAAAAATGAACCCTCATTTCAGTTCCAGTACTGATTTGTTGATTTAAGGGTTTTTTGAGCTATTCTCATTTGACCCATGCGGAGCGAGAAAAGAAAGAGTTCAGTGTTTGTTAAGCTTGTAAAACAAAACAACGACTGTGACGTGTTTCTGAAGTCATGGATATGCAGGAAACACACGTTGAGTGAAATCTCTTTAACAATCAGCACAGCTCCTCCGGGGGAGGGTTTTTATTGAATTGCCCTGTAAGCTAATGCACAAACGGCCTCTCTGGGCGCTTTCACAGAGAAATTAGTGAGGGTTTGGAGCAGTTAAGATAAAGTGCAGTTAAGATGTCATGGGTGTCTGATAGTTCTCGGGCAAAAACAAGGCACCTGGTTTTATAGGCGGCTTTTAGCTCAGACTGTGCTTAACAGTCTCTCCTTTTCCCACTTCTCCTCCACCTCTTTCTGCTTTTTTGTGCTTCTCCTTCCATTTTCCTTCCATAAATACAGTCCTCTGGCTGAAAACCAGCTGTTTGTGCTGAACAAAGAAACACTTACAGCAACCGGGAGACTTTCTCATTACAGGCCTCCCTGACGCTACGACACTTGGAGATTGTCACACAGAGAAAGTTTCACACATCAGAGTTTAGATGAAATGGAAAAAAATGCCAAATTACACTCATACATAATCTTGAGGGGTTTTATATACTGAAGAGTGTTACAGATGTTTGCACACATTGCAGATTTGATGGCTCCATCACAGACATTTATCCAGGTGACACACATTTCCCTTCGCACACACGGTCAGTCCCGCAGCGTTGTGTCTGTGCAGAGCGTAACGTCTGGCGTGCTGTTGTTGGTGCTGACACAAGGTTTATTTGGCGGGGCTTTTACAGCTTTACCTAGGCCCTCTGCCACTACTGTCAGACACAAGTCAGCAGGGGAAGCACAGCCTCTCAGATTCCAACACACACACACACACATCCACACTCAGATGCAGGCACGTATACGCAGAACAACTCACCAGGGTTTAAGTTACTGCTAAAAGGACTAACACTAACACACCCTTCGTTTTTCCAGCTGCGAAATGCAAAGGGCACACACACACACACACACACA